AGATCCACCACAAAATTATGTCCCTGTATGAGGATTTTTTCCTTCTTACATACACCATTACACGACATCTGACTCCCATTAGCCACATGGATTGAAAAGAGAGGAGTGGGTTGTATGGTCATACCTAGCTGCTTAGCCAAACGACAAGTGATGAAATTCAGGGTAGAGCCACTGTCAATCAGAATCATCACGGTCCGGCCCACCAATCTTCCTTCTACGTGCATGGACTGAAGAGAGTTGAGGCCCATGAGGGCGTGTAAGGAGATCTCGGCCCCGTCAAGTTCTGGTCCGTCTGGAATCAGTTCACGGTCATTTAAGTGCTCTGGGTCTAACACCCGCTGGACCCGGCATTTATGGCCCGGTCCAAACTTATCATCATAGTTATAGCAAAGGCCTTTCTCGCGTCGGGCTTGCATCTCAGCCCATGAGAGACGTTTGAAGGGCATAGTGGGTCGGGGCAATATGGGCTTCTGATGATCCCCAGCTGGTTTCATGGGCTGCTGATCGACCCGTGGAGGAGTCCTCAAATTCAAGTAGGTCGGTTTGCTAGCTCTACGACAGTTGTCGATTCTTTCTTCTTGCAGGCGATCCAATCCCACTGCAGCCATGACAATCGCCGGATGGAGAGCCCTCACCTCCAGACGGATATCCTCTCTGAGACCTCCCACAAAACATCCTACTAAGGCTTTCTCTGGCCAGCCATGTACCCTGGTCGCCATCCGCTCGAACTCAAGCTGGTACTCTGCTACCGTTCCAGTCTGCTTCAACCGAGTGATAAGCTCGTCATAGTCCACAAACGTCGTCGGCCCAAAGTAGATGCACAAAGCTTCGGTAAACTCTGCCCAAGTTACCTGGGGATGACTCTGGCGATACCACTAGAGCCATAGAATCGCGTCTCCTTCTAGATGAATGGAGGCGACGGAGACACGCTGGTGTGCGGGAATTTCGTGGTATTCGAAATACCTTTCTGCTCGGAAGATCCAAGGAATGGGATCTCCACCAGAATAGTTGGGAAAGTTGATCTTAGTGACTTTTCCGGTGGGGTAATACCCTGTTCTTTGGCTACTGGAAGCAGAGGCTTCCGCTCCTACTGGGTGACTGGTCTCGCCGGACTGTTGCTGAGAGGCGAAACTGGAGACGACCACCTTGAGTTCCTTGAGTTCGTTCAACACCTGGTGGAATCCAACCTCAAGCTGGTCGACCCTATCATCCACGGTAGTGGAACGTGTCTATGGCATCGTGAAGCCTAGGATTTGGATAGCCTGGCTCCGATACCAATCTGATGAGTTACCGCTCACCTCAGAAGCCCCTTCGAGGGTGGCTTAACCTCCTGAAACAGAAGATGGGAGGGGGAGAGAGGGGAAAGGTAGGAAGAAAATAACTCGGAGAGAGATGAAAGGGATATTCATTCACGCCACTTATTACATGATCAGGGCCTTATATAGCTGGCCTACATGTATGCAATCATAGAGAGAATATCTTCTGGTGGCAGTGTAAGTAACTCTGGGAGGCTCTGAGTGTAACTAACTCTGGGAGGCTCTTCCGCGTGTCACGCTAGCCTCTCTGTTTTCTAGTGAAATGATGTTTGGTGGTGGCCTGCTCCACACCTACAGTTGGGTTCGGAGGGAGTGTTTGGGTCCCAACACTATATCACCACACTTGGGGAAATGTAAAGAATGAATTGCCTTGGTTGTAAGTAATCTGAGCATCAATGAGAGCTTTCCAACATAAACATGAGCTTTAACATCTTTATAGAAAATAAGATCAAATGCATAAAACTCTTGTTTTACCATTATTGAGCATGATTTGAATACTCATCTTGGTGTATGAACTCATAAAAGTTACTTACATACTTAAGAAAGAAAACCAAACCTTCTAAAGAAGGTTATTGTCATATTCCTTCAAAATATTATGTTAGAGACAATCATCCTTATTCTCCACTTCAAGTTCTGTCAAAGAAAGAAACTTCAGGCTAGGACTTGTGAAGAGAGAGAGAGAGAGAGAGAGATTCACTTTCTTTCCACCTGTATAAAGAACTACATCTGACCCTTCAGCAAAATTATATTCCTTCAACAAAAAAAGGAAAAAAGAAAAAGAAAAAACATGTAATAGAGATGTTTTGGATCACCTTAAAGAAAACAAACCTTACCCTTTTACAATTGGGCCTATATCTAAAATTTGTGGTCTATAAGAAAGTAAACTCCCAAGATGGCAAAAGCACCTTGAATATCAATCAGCAGACATAAAGCATAATGTCTTTGCGATAGTAATACTGTAATAGAGATACATGATGAACTGAAAAATGCATAGCAGATAATTCCCATATCAATTCTACAACAATGGCAGGTCTGTGCACATTAATAACTTAATAGAATTCAAATGCCAGTGCTGCATCACATGACAAAGCTTTGAACCTGTGCTTGACTCAACCCAGTTATGTCAAATCCTTCTTGGAAGCTTGGTGGGTGAAAGGGCTAAATAATAAAAGAAAGATCGTCTGAGCTTCTATTCCAACTGCAATCATTTGGTTGACAGAAAGAAACAAGAGGTTCTTTGAGAATAAGTTTTCTTGGGAGGAGATTTTAAAGAAAGTAGATATCTGTGAAAAAGGCTTCCCTGCATGTTACTATCCATGCTTTCTTAGATATATATAATCTGTTTGAAGTGTAATTGGGAAGCACCTGCATGGTCCTTTTATTTTCCTTCTGTCATGTGCTATTCTTTCTGCTGGCTATATAAAATCTGCTTTGAAGTTCCTCACTGTATTAATGGGATGGCCCATCCTCTCTGGATTGTATCTTGTATTCCTAACTTTTATCAATAAATTATCTTGCCTTCAAAAAAAATGCCAATGCTGCTTTACATTATGTTTGTTAGATGTTGCTATGCACAAAAGAATGAAAAAGCATCTCCTGAAAAATACCTCCACCAATATAACTGCCCATGAGGGCAGATGCAATCTTCCAACTATCTTGACCAAGTGATCGCATGGGCACCATTAGATATGCCACTAATGTTCCAAATGTTGTAGCAACTGCGACAACACAAGAATAAATTAACAAATAAAACCACCTAAACAAGAAATAACGACAACAAAATGACAAGCAGAAGCTCTAACCTTAGATATGCATAGAAATAGCAATATCCACCTAAAAGGAAAATATAAGGCTGATTCACATTTCACATGGATCATCTTGGTAACAAAAATGTGCAAGTTTTGCAGGGATTTACCCCGCTGACAGATTATTTCCATAAATTTCTCCATGAATTCAGGCAAATCATCTTGACCCAGGTGGATCACCCTAAAATTTTTCATTAGACTCCTACTGTGAGGCTTTCTGAACACTTAACGACAACACCAATAACTTGTCAGCTTCATTATTAATTGGAATACCTTCAAAACAAAAAGTGGTGATGCAGTATGTAGAATTGGTGACCACTAACCTATAGTGGAAAGATCCTATTAGGAAATTTTCAGACATCCAAATTTATAAGAAAAAATTGTTCAGTGTCATTCAATAGGCCCGTGGCATCTCGACCACTTAATATGGAATTTCAAAACCAAGATTTATAATTGTAACCTCAAGATCATCACAAAATAACAGCTCATTACTCCTGTTCACCCAAGTGATTTACAAATTGAGTGGCTATGGTTATGAAGTCACATACAAGCATAGCCTGCTCCTCTTTCATGAAGTTTAAGAAGTTCATTTCGTGGCCACATCACTTTCTTAGGCTATTTAGAAGAAACCAAGAATACATGAGTGGAAGAAACAACCAAGGTTATGCTTATGTATCTGAAGATACCATTTCAAGGTACAAGGGCACATGACTAAGAATGTGCATACCTTTCCAGACCTACATAGTTTCTGAGCTCCAAATGTCAACCATCACTAAGCATGTGGAGCACCATAGTTGTAAAAGGGTAGCTCTCAAGTATCAATCTTTTTATGGAAAGAATGCAGAAGAAAAATAAGGAGATCTATGGCAGCATCTGTCATATTCTGCCACAACGAGGAAAGAATGGTTTCTTCAGGGTTGTGTAGCCACATTTTCCTACCAAAGATTTGGGCAAAGATCTCTATGATTTAGTAGAAGTTCAGGACTGTTATCAGTCTT